TATGAGAGCATCATCCTGAGAGTGGTGGCTGAGACATCACCTAGAGCAGTACTTGCTGCATTTGCTGTTTATGTGGGAGGTGAAAAGGTCTCTGGTTGGCATCCCCCATCAGCTGAAGATGTTGTGAACTACTGAGCCATGGAGTTCCCACTTGTGGTCAATTGCAAAATGCCTGCTGAGCAAGTTCGCAATCACTTTCGGTGTCCCTGGGAGACAGGCTGCGGAAAAGAGGATCTGGTGGGACGTGCACCAATTCCAGACATGGACTGCTTCTGCGCATAAAGCAGTTGATCTGATGCCCCCGTTTGTTGATGTAGAAAACAGTGATGGTGTTGTCTGACATGATAAGAATCTGACAGGAATGGATGAATGGGAGAAAGGCTTAACATGCTTTCCTTACAGCTCGGAGTTCCAGGATGTTGATGTGCATCCTGGATTCCCGAGGAGTCCACGTTCCCTGTGTCATGTGATCATCCATGTGCACTCCCCAGCCTATGAGGGATAGGTCAGTGATGATGGTCTTGTCTGGGGAGGGAGGGAACCCCTATGCAGACATGACGTGGGTCTGTCCACGACTGGAAAGGTGAGAATACCCTGTGGGGAACTGTGAGCATGAGGTCCATGGCATGAGGGTTGGGAGAGTAAACTGGAGGCAGTGAAGATGGAGCCAAGTGAAGGTGGTGACATATGTGCACAAGCCATGTGGCCAAGGAGTGACCAGCAAGTCCTGGCCAGCACATACAGATTGTTGACAATGAGAGTTCTGAGTTCTCACAGTCTCTGGAACCTGTCCCTTGGTAGCTAGGCCTGTGCTGTGACTGAGCTGATGGTGGCCCCTATAAAGTCCAGCGATTGTCTGGGGCCAAAGGTCGATTTCTCGACATTGATATTGACCCGAGGGACGAAAGAAGGCCAAGCAACAGCGAAGTTGAAACTTGGGCTTCGTGCCTGGACTATGTGGCTAAGAGCCAGTCATTGAGATATGGAAATACCAAGACCCAATAACATCTGATATAGGCTGCTATGACAGAGAAAACCTTGGTGAAGACTCTGGGAATGGTAGGGGTTATTCTGAAGGGGAGCACGCTGTATTGGAAATGGTGGTTGCCAATTGTCAATCTCAGGAAGCGCCCATGGGCTGGATGTATATTGATGTTAAAATAAGCATTTTGCATATAACACATGCTTCTTTCTAGGGATGAGATGATCGCTGCCAGCATGACAATTTGAAACGGGCTTGTGAATGAAGCAGTTGAGATATTGGCGGTCCAGGATTGAGCTCCATTCGCCTTTCTTCTTGGGTGTCAGGAAGTAAGCTGACTAGAACCCTGTCCCTTGATATTCTGGGGGAATGCATTCTACCACTCCCCATTGTAGTAAGGAGTTCACCTCTTGGGTGAGGATGCTATCGTGAGAGTGGTCCCTGAGGAAGGATCAAGAGGGGGGGTTTAGAGGAGGTAGCGTGATGAATTCGATCATACAGCCATGGCGGATGACATTCAGTACCAATTTGTCCATTGTTATTGCACTCTGAGCTTGGAAGAAGAGAGCTAGATGACCCCTGAAGAGGGTAGGGTGATCGTGAGGTGGTAGGCAAAGTGGTTGACAGCTCTTGAGATTGACTCAGAAATGTCTTTTAGCCAGGGGTGGAAGCTGTGAGGTAGAAGCCTGTGATGGGGGTCCCGGAGGGTGGGATCGCTGGGGTTTCTGTCGCTTCCTTGGTGGCTCGTAAGATCTCTGATAGTAAAACTGGGGGGACCTGTAGTGATGTGTGGGTGGCGGGTGGTGGAACTTAGACTTTGGGGCAGGCAAGCAAATGCCCAGCGAGTGAAGGATGGTTCTGGAGTCCTTGGGGGTATGTAGGGAATCATCCATCTTTTGATTAAGAAGATGGGATTCATCGAAGGGGAGGTCTGCAACAGTGTTTTGCACCTCCAGAGGGAAACCGGAAGAGTGGAACCAAGATTCCTTACGCACAACTTTGTTCATAGCCAGAGCCCTGGAAGAAGTATCTGCCGCATCCACCACCAATTGGAGCGCTATTCTGGCCACCAGCTTCCCTTCCTCAGTCGCCTGGAAACAAGTCCGGTCCAGTTGTGTGAGTCCATCAGCAAATTCCTCCAGTTTGCTGTAATTCAGGAAGTCGTATTTGGCTAGTAACGCCTGATAGTTCAAAATCTTGAATTGGAGACTGGCTGAGGAAAAAACTTTACTCCCCAAAAGGTCCAAACACTTGCCTTCCTTGTCGGATGGTGTGGAGTGGGTGTTGTTGTCTGGCTCATTCAGTCATTGCTTGGACCACCAGGAAGTTTCGGGGGTGGGTGAGGACGGTCGGATGTGAGAAAAGAAGCTCAGACCCCTTAGCCAGAACATAGTAGACTTTTTCTGCCCCTTTGGGGGTAGGCGGACACGTGGTTAGTGTGTGCCATACTGTCCTGGCCAGTTCAAGAATGGCATCATTAATGGGCAATGTGACTCTAGTTCAGTGGTTCCCCAATGCGGTGCCTGCGGGCACCATGGCGTCCGCCAGGGCATTTATGTGCGCCTGCCTAGTGCCCAGCAGGGGAGAGAAGCCGCGGCCCCACGCCTGCCGGGGACAGAGAACTCCGGGATGCAGGCTGCGGGTGCTGGTGTTCTCGGTCCCTGGCAGGCGTGGGCCACGGCTTAAGCCGGAGAGAAGCCGCAGTCCCGCGCCTGCCGGGGACAGAGAACTCCGGGCTGCAGGCTGCGGGCGCTGGAGTTCTCTGTCCCCGGCAGGCGCAGGGCCCGCCTAGTGCCCAGCAGGGGAGAGAAGCTGGGGCCCCACGCCTGCTGGGGATAGAGTACTCTGGGGTTGCGGGTGCCAGTGTTCTCGGTCCTCGCAGTTTCTCTCCGGCTTCTCTCTGGATTCATTTATTATGTAATATTAAATATGATGTTTTTCGTATTATTTAATGTACAAATACAAAATAAGCCTTGAAAAATTGTTGGCGCCTGCCACATTCTTCTGAAAACATGAATGTGCTATTGGCCACAAAAAGGTTGGGGACCACTGCTCTAGTTGGTGCTGGGTATCCTGGATTTCCTCTAGGGGAATGTGGAGTTCCCCCATGACTCTGCACTGTAGCTCTTGGAACTGCCTAAAGTCGTGTGGAGATGAAGAGGATGCTGTAGTCCTTGCGTCCTCTGGGGAAGAGAAAGGGAATCTCACTGTTTCCGGCAGCACCCTCTGAGCCAGGCTCAGGGGATCCTCCTCCAGCAACGGATCCAAGCGCCTGCTAGAAGGGGCCCTCAATGGGGAGGCAGATGAAGGCTCCATTGTGGATTGGGAAGGTTCTGAGGGGGGGTATTGGGACCAGGGCCCCAATAAGGCCAGAAGGCTGGATCCAGATGGTGTTGAGATGGTCCACATGGGGAACCAGTGGCTCCATGGTGGTTGGAGTGGAGGGTGTTGCCAAGATCGGGATAGCCTTCCTGAGTACATGCACAGTTGGTACAACATCAATGGTCCCTCTCCAGCGTCCAACTTATCAGAGGATGAGAAGGTGGGCTCCAGTTCCACTGGTGATACCGTCAGAGCCGGTGAAAGTATGTAGACCGTCGGAGCAGGTGGCGAGGCATCTCACAGTGGTGGCATATCATCATATCATAAGGGGGGAAAACAGTCTCCCTAAAAGTATTGGGTCCCAACAAGCATAGTGAACCCAGTTCCATTAAGGCGAAGACATCCTGGGCTCAAACACTGTTCTCAATCTCCCTGGTGTTAGAGGTACCCTTTCTTTATTCGGAACTGGTTGTGGTGCTGCAGATTTCCCCGGAGCGGGCAAATCCTGCGTCTGTGGGAGCGCTGATGTTGACAGTCCCTGTGGTCCAGTGCCCAGGACTGCCGGATCACCTTGCTTGTGGGACTTCTTGTCGTGTTATGTGGTTTAGAGTGTGCTCCTTCTCCCTGGCTCGAACTCATGGAAGGACCATCCACTTTCTTCGTTTTTGAGGAAGACTTATTCCAATGCTTACAGGTATGGCTTCTTTACCTCCCGACTGGGCCCCAGCATGGGCTCCATGGTGGTGGTACCGCTGGTGCCAGATTTGGATTTGGTAGCAGGAGGCACACTCCCTGCGGTTTCAGGCCAATGTACGGGGGGGGTCGGTCCCTTGGCCTAGGTCCAAGAGAGGCCTGATGACAACTTCCATGAGGTATTTCCAGAGGCGGGGAGCCCAGCCTTCTCGGGTACAGCTCTGGAAGGACTGGCAGATACTACATCTGGATGCAGTGTGAGCTTCCACCAAGCAGTAGAAGCAGTGTTGGTGTTTGTCGCTAACCAAAAGGGAACGCGGGCAGGAGGCACAGAGTTTGAAGCCCAGTGTTCTGGGCATAGTCTGGTACCTGCTCATGGGTACAGAGGATAGGGAGGAGGGGGTAGAGAAACAAACCCCTGATCGATCTACGTTGCTCACTAAAATTACAATAAACAGCTAAAAAGTTCTATAAAACTCTAAAATTCTAAAAGCTATTTACAATGTATTTAAAGGTGCATAAGAGATGAAGGCACAGAACTTTTAGCAGCGATGAGAAGGAACTGGAGATGTGGTCTCCACCCTTTATCACCTCGGATGAAACCACAAGGCGAGCCTGGGCACATGCCCAGACCAACAGACACTATCTTCACATTCTCCAACTCGGGGCACATGGTGCACTTGCTAAACCCTCAGTGGAATACAATAGGGACCATCAGAATTCTGGGCCTAGTCTCTGGGCTTCTTGGAGGTTGCATACGATAAAAGAGGGCAGATTTTAGTCCCTTGGGTATACTGAGCTCCCACATGTGTAAGTTCTAGGGAGGTTTGTAGTGAGTAGGTTCTCCTGACACTAACAGAGGGCATCTTTCCAGGATCCAATGGAAGAATAAAGAATCTAACATCTAGAACAGAAAGTGATTTTGACTGCCATGGTAACAGAAGGCAGAGTAAACCAGCTAAGTATGGCTCCCATAGATAGTGGCCACTTTTCAATACTTCACCTGCACAAACAGGAGCAGCTTCCTGTTGCAGATTTCCAAGCGCTTCCGCATGACTTCAGATTTCCGCAACTGACCATCTGCCAGGGACAGCCGTCTTTTCAGCTCCAGAATGTCTCCCTGAGGCAGAAAGGAGGAGGTGGGAAGAGAAGGGAGATAGCATCAGCCACTTTAGGCCCTTGGAGGAACCAACTTAACAACAGGCTTGAAAACAGATGCACACGGACGGCAGCTAGGTCCTCAGTGATGACAGAATTTCCCACAGAGTGGCAGTGGGGCTACATTCATATCAGCACTGTTCTCGGGGCTGCTTGGAAAAAGACAGGGGCATGAACAGACTATGGGCTCCCACAGCTGCGACAAACGGGCCAATTACAGGACAGAAAGGGATGATGCAACTTTAATTCCATTAGACGAGGAGAGCAGGGGCAGAGCAAGTAGAAATAAAGTACTTAGCTAAAATATAGAGACTGCCCTTCCTAAGTAGGAGCAGCTGGCAAAGACACATCTCATGTCTACTGGCCTGCACCTTAATCTGCCTTAGTGTGGTCTCAGTCTGAGACCTGGCTCCCTTGTGGTTCTCTCCGTTACTCATGATAGTTATGATCAGCTGGGTAGCAGTCCCTAGATTGAACCACCTGGGGGCTGGGCACTCTTAATGAAAGGCCCCCATTATGGAATCTGCTCCTCATGCTAGCCCACTAACCCCATCATTGACCTTCAGGCCTGGTACAAGACACATTTCTCTTCTGAGGTTTTTGCCTGAGTTTGGAGCTTAGGGATGGAGGGTGGGGTGAGATTCTCAGCTAGTGCACATGCAGTGTCAGTGGAGCAATGGCAATTAGCAGTGGAGCTAGCCTGGGTGTTAATTATTGTGGAGACGTCTTTTCTTTTGATCTGGTCACTGGAAATCATATTAAATATCAACATGAGCCTTGGGACTCTACTAGCCTCTGTTTTACAAATTACAATCCACCGATCAATTACATTTTGCTTCAAAAGTAAGAGCCAGAGGCTTTTCCAACTGGTCCATTGAGTCCCCAGCCATCCCCTCCTGGGCCGTGGGGGTACATTACCTCTGCTTCGGAGACATGCTTTGTTTTCTTCCCTACCAGCTGAGTTTTCAGCTCAGTGATTTCAGCCTCTAGCAGGTGGATCACTTCCTCATAGTCCTGCTCTGCACTGTGGGCTTGCTGCTGCACCACCTCCGCCACCTGCAGCTTGCTGTGGAGGGTCCGGTTCTCAGACAGGAAGTCCAGCGCCTTCTGGAGTCGGCAGGGAGAGTTTGTTAACACAGCATCCCCACCAGCCACCGAGATATCAACCCATCAGCGTTCCTAGAGCTGCTCATGGTAAAGCTGCTGCTGTTCTTCCCATGGTACCATACAGAAAACCTTCATCTAATATGAATATTTTTCCTTTGCAACTTCCATATAATTGTGGCAAAGGGCCGGAACCCACACATGCACGCACCTCCCAGGGTATGTCTATACTGCAATAAAGGAGTCGCAGCATGGCTGCGGCTGGCCCAGGTCACCCAGATCAGTCTCTGGGGCTTGGACTGCAGGGCTAAAAGTTGCAATGTAGATGTTGATGAAGTCCAGGACCTCCATGGTAGCATTCTCTGAAATGCTTCCAGTTCCACATGCAGGGCCAGTTAGTCAGGCAGAACTGCAGGGTCTCAATGC